AAATGACCCAGGAGACATTCCCCCAGCTTGATGGGATTGTAAGAGGGTGGGGGTAAACTCAGATTTGTTTGTTTTTTTGTTTGTTTGTTTGTTTGTTTGTTTGTTTAAAAAGCTTCTTGATCTCTAGAAAGCAAAGACATGCTATTTCTCAAATACCTGAGGTTCCAACCTCCTACGTGCATCCTTCCCGGGCTCTCACAGCAGCCACTGCTGGGCCATTTCCCCACCTGCTCCAAGAACCTGCCTGTGGGGAAAACATAGCCCCCAGCAAGCTCAGGCGTGGGTGTCAATGAGAGGATAAACATTCTTGTGCTAATGAGCTACTTCTGGTCACGCCAGAGTCAACATTCCCTGGATAGAGTCCGATAAGCATGCACCGAGCGTTAGCAGATTAATAGGGTCTCTCCCTAAAAGTCATTATTTTTTTAATGGAAGAAATTACCTACTAACTGGGGAAAATAACGGTATCATCTACCGAAGGCATGGGCGCTATGCACATGTTACAGAAAGACAAGTTCTTTTCTCAGAGTGTTTGTTGTATTTCCAGTGCAGCACAAACACATTCACCCGGGCCCGAGGCACTCCGTTCAAAGCTGTTACAGTTCCAATGCTTCCCTCAAAAAGTACCCTCAGGCCTCAAAAAATATACATATTTTGTTGCTTTTATTAAAGCCTAACCCCTGGACTAAATTTAGTTCTAGGAAATAGAAGACAAATTTGCTGGTTTCCTATCTTTTTCAATTCTGTCATTTATTGTAGAATTCTCCAAACGGCAAACACATGATAGGGGAGAGAAGAAATAGAAACATTTGGGGGGTATTTTTTGGTACCATATTTATCACTAAAATGCAGTTTGAATTAAGACATCAGACTTGTTACAGAATTTCCAATTAGGAATTAGAGCTTGCTGGATTCGGTGGTAGGGGACCTGGTAAAAGAACAGAATCAACATTAAAAAGTCAAACTTAAAAAAATCTTTACTCGAGCTATTAATAGAACCAAGCCCTTCTTGAAACCAAGGGGAAAAAAAAACTCAATTAATTTTCTTCAACCGGTAGTACAGCACGCCTTCCCCATCCCCTTCGGAGTGTGACCTGGCATGGGTTTTATTTTATTACCAGGCCCCCTTCGGAGACGCCACCTCTGGGTGGATACGGACGTTCCCCGACACGGTGGAGAACGGAGACCAGGGGCTGGAGCCTGCAGCGGCCCCCAGGGAGGCTCTTCGCTGCACGGAACCTGGAATTCGGGAGGTCCCCAGCCCCGGAGCCCTCGCAACAGCCCTCTCCTCTCCAACTGGCGTTCCCAACTTTTGTAAAGTCTCTGAAGGGCCGGGAGCCCACTGCCCCTGCCCCAGAAAACAGGCGGACCCCTCCGCCACAGCAAGAAGAGGCCCAGGCAGGGGGAACGTTCCCCGAGGCCTTGACCTGTCCAAGGCAAGAGCTCTCTGCGTGGCCGTGCACAAGCATTTCCTAGGAAAACCTAGGGTACAGAACTCACTCAAAAATGGAAGGGTTTTTTTTTGTTTCCTGCAATCTTCAAATATCCCAGGAAATGTCCAAATTCCTACTGTTGAGGAAATGATCCCTGCCCTGGCAAATGATTTCTAAACCAAAGGTGCCGCAACCATCTGCAGCTTTCGGGTATGACCTCCCCTGGGCCCTTCCCCACCCGGGCGGACTCCGACCAGCCAGAGGAGCCTCCCCTGCCCCAGATGGCCTCCTCCCAGGGGCAGAGCGGGATTTCCCTCTGAAGTGGTTCCCTCACAAGTCACAGAGACCCCCGCTGCAGCCCTCCGAAGGCCAGCATCCAGGGATGAGGCGTGAAGGCGCTGGAAAGTGGATTGGGGAGTATATGCTATAAACATCCCCCACTCCACCACCTAGCCCCACCCCACCACCCACAAGTGCGGACCCAGGCGGTCCACATGGCATAGTGGCATGGAAGGGGCACATGGGTGCACAGTTCCCAGAATGATCCTGTTCCACCCTTGTCCCTGATGCAGCCACCTAATAATAGCCTTATTATCACGGGCCAAATTGTATAACTTCGCTAGTCAACCTTATCTGCATGGAAGTATTATCTGCTTTATGTGGTGGCTGTGAAGATTAAAAGAGATAATGAATATACATAAAATGGGGCTTGTGAACTTGGAAAGTACCGTCCGAAGCCTAGCTGTGGTTATTTCTCGTGAGTGCACCCTCTCACAAGAGCTCAGTCCACCAGCAACTCAAGAAGAATGAAGTCACTCGGGCACACTTTACACAGGACCAACAGAACTATAGAAACATCCACACACTCGGTATTCCTCATCAAGCTCCCCAGTGGCAATCCATCAGTAGGCTGCTTCCAACTCACACGGAGCACTTGCAGAGATACTGATTCTAGGACCTTCTCCCAAACCCACAGGGTCACAACCCCCAAAATGAGTATGGTAAACCACCTCTCCAGGTGATTCTGACACGCAGTCAGGTTTGGGAACCAACTGCACTTCTTCAGGCAAGACGAGCAAATTTCCTATCATGTATAGATCCATCATGGGCATAAAACTGTTCTGGGGCTAAGACGAGATCTCTCTGTGTCTCTCTACCTCTGTTCTCAGACACAGACACACTAAGCTACAGAGGGCTAGCTCATCCTCCAGACACAAACACACCCACAAACACACAACACAGCTATGCAGATGTGCAGTCAGACACCCACGTGAAAAACAGGAAGGAGAAATACACTAACAAAAACAGAAGGGCACCTAATAAAAGGTATCCAGATTGTTAAAGTTTATGGAATTTGTAGTTATAAGGGATACAGAAAAGGGGGGAGAAAAAATAGAATGTTAAGACAAAGAACAAGTGCTCAAAACTGGAATCCCCCACTTCTGTGACGGCACAGCACAATGTCAGACTTGGCGGCTGACCACTCCCAATGCTACTTGTCCACTCATTGGTTTGCGATTCTGCCTCAACCAGGGACTGTGAGAGCCGCCCCCCACAAAGGGCTGTCCCCAGCCCTGGCGCAGAGCCTGGCCCGTAGTGGCATCTGTTCTGTAAGTGTGTGTCTGGCACACGCCAGGATGAGAACAGACAGATGAGGAAGGAGGACAAGGTGCACAAAGAAGGAAACATCTCTTGTCTGTCCCAGATCCCTCCCTGGTGGAAACCAAGAATAAGTGAACTTCAGGCAATGAGTTTCAAGGCAAAAGACAGTTCACGTCCCCACAGGCATCATTGGCAGCACCACCAGGAGCAGAACCACCCGGGGAAAAAGGAGAAACGCTCTCTAGATCTATGGGGCAGGTCTGAGGTGAGTAGGAAAATTGATCCTGTGCTCTGAAGGCTGTTTGAAGTTATGAGTCCGACCTTGACAATTCCCTGCTTAGTGCTCCTCCAAGGCCCCCCTAGCACCCACAAGGTGCTCCCCAACATGACCCATATACACCTCCCTCCCCAGCCTCGTCCCTGGCGTCTGCCACCTGCTTTACGCCCCAGTTGTGCCGAACTCACACAACGTGCTGTGTCATTCCTCTGAGCCTGCTCGGTGCAGCTGACCGCTACCTGGAATGCCCTCCCTGCCCTACTGTTCGTCCTTCTCAACTCCGTTCTGCGACGTCCTCCTCCAGGAAGTCCCCGGGCTCCTGCGACACCACCAAGTGCACGGAGACCCTATTGGCCCTCCGCGCGCTGTATGGTCTGCCCATTGATGAGTCAATCCCACCCCAGAGTGTACGTTCTGCATCTCTGTGCCCATAGCGATGGTGCATGGCCCACCCACAAAAAAATGCTTGTGAAACACAACTAAAAACTGGCGAGATTCCAAAACATATCACCAGAAGGCTTAGTTAGAAGGGGATCTGAAAGGAACGTGGGTACAGTAGAAAGGTCCTCAACATCTGAGCTCTGAGTTCAAGTCAGAAAAGTGACCTCAGGCAAGGCATTCAATGACTGAGCCAGCCTCCTAATCTATGAAGTAAGGATAGTACCACCCAACTCACACAACTCCTTATAAAGAAACACCCACTATGTCACCTGGAAAATCGTGGTCCTCTGTACTGTACCTACTGGGGAGACTCCCCACTCTTTTCAGCCTCCTGCTTTGGACCTTAAGTTCTTCCAAGGGCTTTTCCTCGTCTCTGCTCTGGACCCAGTTCATAAATTTTGCCTCACTCGTCAGGAAACCCGGAGGCCTCCTTCTCTGGCCCGTGGCCAGGTGCGCGGAAGTGAAAGAGACTGAGAAATGGGGGCTCTGAATGAGAGGTAGAAGAGAGCCTGTGGAGAGAACCTTCTGGCTCTGTTCAGATGAACCAACTGGGCAGGAGTTTGAAAAGCCACTTGAATTCTCATTTCCCCAACTCCCCACCAATACCAGGGAGTTTGTTTTACAGACTCTTTACTGGCGTTCAATTTCCAATGCAGCTTAAGGGTTCAGGGACAATTACAAAGCAGGGGTGGCAGCAGGCCAGATGAGCACCGGCTGCAGCCGCCCTGGGAGGCTGCAGGGCATTCGCGGGAGAAGCACACGCTCGCGGCGCACCCCCGGCCTCTGGCCTCGGGTGGTGGGGCCTGGCAGCTACGGGAAAGAAGGAGGTCAGCGCAGCCGCCAGACTTCTCCCGGGCGCCAGCACCGGCCGGCCGCGCCACCCAACCCAAACACCGGCGACTCTCTTGAGGAGTCCACAGACTGCCACCCTCTGGGCCACTCGTCTGCAGCGCCTCCTTCGCCCCGGGACCCCGGCGCGTTGCCCAAGTTGACAGCTCTGCTCTGCCCGCGACGCTTGCCCACTACCCACACCCAATCCCACTTACCACACTGCGGGTCTGGAGATAACCCCGAGCTTTTTTTTAATCCAGAAATAACACCCTGTAGCCTCATCCGGCTCCCGGTTACCTGCTCACAACACCCAGACCCCGGACCTGGCTTCCCGGGAGCCCGCAAACCCAGCGCGCGAGTGGCGCGCCCTCCTGCAAACCGCTGCCCCGTGCCCGGCGCGCCGCCAAACCCCATACCTTGGGGGTCTGCACTTCAGGTCCCGTCGACACCTCCAACTTCTTCTTGTTTACCCAGAAGAACAGCAGCACGGTGATCCAGAGCACCCCGAAGATCGGCAGTACCAGGCGGCGAGACAGGCACCGCATGGTCCCCTTTGCCTTTTCCTCTCAGCGGAGCTACGTCCCTGGGGCACCCCCTGGTGGTCAGGGTCGGCGGGGCAGGAGTCTCGGAGAGCACCTTGCTCCGTGGAGCGCTAGCCCGGGAACGCGGTGCAGAGGCGGCAGGATCCTGCAAAGCGCCCCGCCCGCTTGGGAGTAAAGAGAGCAGGGGTGGGGGAGCGGCGCCTCTGAGGCACAGCAGGAAAGGGCCGAGGGGCAGCCAAGCTGGACAAGCGCGGTGGCAGCCGAGATGGTCCCCGCGCCACCGCGGCCGCCTCGCTCGCCGCTGCCGCCGCCGCCGCCGCTGCCGCGGGGGAAACTGACTCGAGCTGCGGGGAGGGAGGAATCCGAGGCTGTGCCCGGCACCCCAACAGGAACACGAGGGAGGAAGGGGAGGAGGGAGAGTACGGAGAAGGAAGGCACGACAGACAGACTCGGAGGGAGCCGGGGTGGGAGCGAGGGGGTTCTGACAGGGGGCGCTACCGCCGCCCGCCGACCGAGGCGCATGGTGCTGTTCTGAAGACTACGGCGCCGAACACAGGGCGCAGCTCCAGGGCCATCCTGGGTTGGGGCGGGGCAGGACGGGAACGGTGCACTCAGGAGCCCGCCAACGCCAGCTTCATTTTGGGACTGAAGGGGCAGGCTGCGCCTTGCAGAGCTGTGCCTAGGAAGACTTTCCTTTTCACAGCACAGGGCTGCACGTGGCGCTCAAACCGAGTCCCGCCCTCAATGCATTCGCCCCCCACCACCATCCCCCCGGAGCCGGCCCTGGGACGCTGGAGCTGCTCCTGGCAGCTCAGGGCCAAGGCTGAGTTCAGCCAGCTCCCCAGGGTGTTTGTTTCTCTACCTGCATGCAGGTGGCTGGCAACTTTTTCTGCTTAATGGAACTCTGAGTTGGTCTTTTAACTTTAAAGAACTCCTTTTAAAAATTAAGGAGCAGTTATCTCCCTTAAGTGTTTTCTTATGAAGCATCAGAGCTCTGTATTTGCGGATGTTTATAGGGAGGAGGCCGGAAGTTAAGCCAACCACATGGAGTTCTTGGAAAGTGACCCTGGGCAGGGGGGGTGGGGATACTGGATGTAGAGGGTTACCTTTCAAAAGGACGTAAGACTGATGTACCTACCAATGTAGCCACCATCCTCCTGCTTCTCCCCATGGAACTCAGCACAAGGGAAGCACCATACACTAGGAAAGCGGAGTTCCGGAATTCATTCCCCAGGAAGAGTCTGAAATGGAGGAATCTGCCGAAAGCCACTGTGTTTAGTACCTTGTCTTTCAGCAGCACGGCAGCCCTGCCTCACGTCTCTAAAAGTGCTCGGCCAGGCTGTAAATCAGAAGTTTTTGGGTGGGAACAGGGGTGGAAATCAAACAGCCCAGAAAAGCTGAGCGCTCTTGCAAGCTCCTCCCCAGATTTGGTGGAGCTCTCCGACCACCACACAGAACCGTGGGGGTGACCCAGGACTCACCTCCATTAGAGCTCTGTATGCTGAAAGGTTGGTGTAGGCTTCCCAGCCATCGCTTTGGCCTTTGGCCCGGCAAAGATCCAGGTAGACTGTAGTCATGGGGTGAGGAGGGGCGGGGTGATGGCAGCAAGAGAACCCATCCCTGCAGCATCTTGAGCTGCCTGGATCTCTTCCAGGAGCCTCACCGTGGACCTGCAGGCTCAGGCCTGCAAAGTGTCTGCAGCAGACTCTGCAGGGGACCCCCAGGCGAGCCGCTGAGGCTGAGCCGCTGTCAGCTCCAGGCAGGAGCTGCTGTACCGTAGTCCATTGCTCAGCGCTTTGTGATACTACTGCTTCTGAGTAACAGATGGTGGGGAGTTATACAACACCACCGCCAAGCTTTTGAGATAGTGCAGCACCGCACTTCCTGCTGCTGAGGTGCTAGGTGCTTCTTTCTAACTGTTTAGCATCTGGGGAAACTGAGGCCCTGGGATTCCCACGGAAGCTCCATGCAAGGCCTGCCATGCCTGGGGCAGCAGGGATTGCCTTCGAAGGCGCTTGCCTCTCGAGTAGCTGTTTTGTCCTCCAGTCTGATGGAGATTTCCTGGGCCTCCGGAAGCCATCGAGGGAATCCCATTTCACTGAGTGCCATTACCTGATCTGGCCAAAGGGCATATTAGCCTGGGCTGTCACACCAGCAAGTTATTAGGATTGAAATCAATTTCAGATGGGACTTTCAGCATCTGGAAGCCAAGTGAAGCTCCACCCCAACCGAGCACAGCCCCATAGGTCTCCCCCAGAACACAGTCTATCCAGGGGACCTCCATGCTCTGGCGGATATTTAAAACTTTAATAACCAGCCTGAGTAACACAGAGCACAGTTGATCCCAGTTGGGGATTAGCTATCATTAGCGATTAATCCATGTTACTTTTTTTCTCATCACAGCCTACATGGGCAGGAAAATCTCCCAGCAAAAGATTTAACATGGCAGGAAATAAGAAAAAAAATAATAGTAAGTGCCCTCTTAATTAGGTATATCCTGGTGCTGGAGCATGAGTTGACCTCGCTGGTCTTGATATTCTTGAGCTAGTTCCACATCGCTCTGGGTCTCCGTTTTCCCATCCGTCGTGCCATGCCCTCTCACAGACCCTCCAGCTCACACAGGGTTCTAACCTTCCATGAATTAGGATTCCTTTCGCCACTCCTGTCATTGGCAAGTTCTGTGTAAGCTGTTCTCTCCGCGCAGCCGAAGACATTAGAGAGTGAATTGGGTATTGGAGCAGATGTGAGTCATTCGTGTTAGTATAAAAACTACGGAATAAAACCCGTTATGGCTCTGGAAAGCCGTGTAAAGCAGCATATGGAGCAAATGTAAGCTGGAAACGGGGGGAAGCTGTGAAGTCCAATGCATATGCTCTCCAGCGGCTTTTGCTGTGGGGTTTCACACTTTGCTTCTTGTTTCCTTGTGCCGTCCTCCTGTCACTCTCTCTCAGCTCACTGCAGAGGCTGCAGCTTTTTTGTGCCTTTCGGATCAGATTCCCCACATCCCTCCTCTCTGCCCACTGTGCGGTGACTTCAGTAAGAGTGTATGTGCGTGTGTCTACCATCCACATGCTTATTAGACCTGTCACCACCAGCAAGATGCCCTCCGTGCCAGTCTAATGAGATTTCACCCCCAGAGGCCTGAGCAGCATTCTGTTGAGATCTTTGCCCTTCTAGACCACCGGGAAAGGTAACCAGTAGCAGGGCAGACTGTAGCACAGTGATGAGACACCCGCAGGCTGGCCCAGCACGGCCGTGGTGAGAATTCAGACATGTCTGTCTTTATTCCACAGTCATACAGACACGAGTCTTTGGGCCAGCCCTTGCAGTCTGCTCTGTGCAAGTTCTCCAATTGTAAATAATACACCAGCCCCCCCTCTCTCTTCATCTCTCCCCCTTTTCTTTGCCACTGTAGATTCTGTCAAAACCTCATGTCCGAGTCTCCCGCAAGGCCTTCTTATAAAGAATGATAGAATAGTTTAGGATGCATTGTAAATGAGAATGAGCTATTACCAACCTTCTAACCTCCTCTCTCTGCCACCTTGGTGCATCTTTGTCAAAAGAATAAAGCCAGCCAGCTTTTCCTCTTATCTTTGACGAGTAGCTGGGTGGCTTTATCTAAGGGATCTGAGAGTCACCTTTCTGGATCGTTCTCTAGCCATTAAACAATTTCTTTCACCATCCCGATACCCTCTACCCCTCCACCCTTTTTTATCTTAGCTACTACTGTATAATTTGCCTCCTGGAAAGGGACTCATATCTTTGCATTTCAAAAACCTGCCTCTTTCTTCCGATATTTGAAATGCCCCCAGACTTCCTTTGTTCCTCCCCCAGATGCCAAGTGTGAAACTTACTACTGCCGCCAAGATAGGCCTGTGCTGGTTGCAGAAAGTGGTTTGATCTTCTGTGGCGGTGTCCTGCAGTGACCTGAGCCACGACCACCCCTCCCCCCTAGAAAATGCAAATGTCTAGTAGCAGGAAGGGGTGACCCAGTTAGCTTAAGGAAAAGTAGAGGAAACTTCTGTATCCTGAATTAATTACCTAGAAGGGTCTCTGAAAGAGGGGAGCACAGCAGAAGAAGAAATGGAAGGACCCAAAGGCAGATGTCATTTACTTCCCAGGTCCCAAGTTTCAGACAGCCGACTCTGACAGCCACCTGCATCTGAGAGCCGAAAAGGCAGACATCTGAGAGATGTCTGAGAGCCGAAAAGGCAGTCTTTCGTAGTAGGCTTCGGCTCAGAGGCAAAGGCGAAAGGTAGAGAGGGCAGGAGAGCGCAATTCTGGAAGGGACAGAGCTGTCCTGGGTCCTCTCCAGCGTGGTGAGAACTTCAACAGTGAGAGGAGCCAGGCGTGTGCCAGGGATGGAAATGGGACAAACCTTGTTCCCAGAACAACCCCTGGTGGCCAGTGGCGGATTCCGTAATCAGTCATTCATGGATGCGGCCTATTCAGCAGAGTGACCACACGCCCCAGTTTGCTTGCTGGTTTATTCCTGTTTTCCTGACATCAATATGAATAATGTCCCCTTTGACTTTTAAAAAATGTCCTAATTTAGGCAACAAACTTCATGGCCACTCCAATGGTTACTAAAAATGTGGTTCTTTGCTGTTAAAGTTCTTCTGAGCATGTGCCAAGTTTGAGATGGCCTGTATGTTTGTGTGGGGCACTGATCTGTGTGACATTTAAGACATTCATTCAAGCCCTGGCTGGTGCAGCTCAGTGGATTGAGCACGGGCTGGGAACCAAAGTGTCGCAGGTTCGATTCCCAGTCAGGGCACATGCCTGGGTTGCAGGCCACAGCCCCCAGCAACTGCACATTGATGTTTCTCTCTCTCTCTCTTTCTCCCTCCCTTCCCTCTCTAGAAATAAACAAATAAATAAAATCTTAAAAAAAAGACATTCACTCAAAGAAGAGACCATGTGGACAATCTGAGCCAACTTTAAATGGGAAAGGATTGTGTTGCCCACATCGGTCAATGGCTATCTGACCCCATCCACCCAGCT